AAATTCAACAAGCTACAAGATAACGAAGAAAATAGAATAGCTATCAAGTATTGTTGGCAAGATAATCTATCTTTTGCAATGCTACCTTTTTTTTTTCGGTATAGAGCTTTTTGGTTCTGTCGATTTAAATTACTGTTTCTGTTCCACATGTAAAAGTAATTTCAATATGAATTGAAATAACTTCTTCGATCAATCAAATTTCTTCTGTTCTTCTCGTGTCCTCATTAATACAATGAACTATTACTATATTGCAACAGATAGAATAATGCTTCTATTAATAAAGAATGCTGTTATTTTGCTTGTGAGATATCTCTCTTCTAGTAAACATAAAGAAACTCTTCTTGTCTCCACAAAGACAGAGCATATTGAAAAGATCTTTTCATGCTACATGTTTGTGTTCACATATATCGTTGAATAATTGGTGAGTATGATTCCATCTACGTGTTCCACAAGATAGAATTTCTCTATATCTCTGACGTGTTTGTTGAGCCTGAAAAATGTTCTTTTTATTAAAAATCTTTATTTATCAGCCAACAAACAAAAAATCAATTACAATATCCTCTTTTCGATTTCATACACCTATTATATATTTTCTACAAATGAGGATGAACTATCTGCTATCAAAGTTCTCCAATATTAACAGCGTATTTTAAAAATGAAAGTGCTGTTGAGTAATCATCGAACTGCGAAAGGAATATGAATATGAAGGCAGAGTTGTGAATACGGGTATGACTGTGAGTATCAGTTAATGTAGTTATTCTTTTCATCTACATCCACGCCCACATTCCTCAAGAATAAACGGGACAATATTTACTTTGGTAACAAACCATTTTTAATAGTTTTAATATCAGTAAAATTTAATGTCTGAAACTATGTCGTAAGTTTCATTTTGAATATGCATTTCAGAGTACTCACTTTGCTCTATATATGAGTGAAAAAGTTAGGCTTCTAGCATACTTTTGTTCGAACACAACAGGCTTCGAGATGTCCGGATACTTCTACATCGCAGGTTATTTTTAAAAAATACTCGAGAAAAAGCGAAAAATAGACGTTTCATTTTTTTTAGAGTTCATTAAATGATGAAAATCGATTTCTCAGCTATGAAACTATCTCTTCAAAATTATCTAGAACTAGGCTGTTTTTCGTCCTGAATAATTTTAGACAGATCATGTTTGATGAAAACATAAATTGCATCGCCGACAGAGATCAAAACAAGATGTGAGTAAAACTGTGAGTACTGCTCTTGTATTTTCAAACAACCACACCTATACCTACACCATACGAACTATAGAAAGATCTAAAGCTATTTTCATGAATATTTGCGATGAAAATTAAACATCTGAGAAGGAAAATTAGAAGAAAAAAATTAATTATTTTCGATTGTGATTATTAGATTTATCTAACTTGATCATATAACTTATTTCCAAAAAAAAAAAACAATAAAGAAAGAAGCTTATGATTTAAGTTGAAAAAGTCAAGTTGTATTTGAAAATCAAATTTATAATGGTAATAAGTCCTATGATACCTCGCTCGATTCTATTATAGGAGAACAGTGATGAATAGAGGTAAGTAAATTGAACCTTTTTGGTTCTGGTTAGAGATACAGTTTTAATGAGAAACTTATGAGAACACATTAGGCATCAATCATTGTATAGTTCAAGAGTCCAAGAAAGATCTTTTACTCAATCAATCTTTTATTTTGTTCTTTTTGTAGACAAAATGGTTCATAATCATATAAAAACAAGATACTTTGTTCTCAAACAAATGATATTGAAATACCAGAAAATCTCCTGTACACTTATTTTATTGTAATCATACTACTTCAGCATTGATTTTGTATCAACACAGATCGTTTGCATTTTTCCTATCCAGTAAAAAAATTGAATTTTACTCCAGACAACGTTGAACACGTCCATCAACACATTCTTGTCACAATTAATTCTGTTCTTCTGTTAATGAGTATTCTTTGTATGGATTCTTTCTTAAGTTTTAAGTATGTCTATTTTCTATTTTTATCTGATTATTCTATCATTGTCTGTCATCATGTCGACACTGTATAATGTGAAGCATTGAAGTAGCAAATTTGATTACTTTTACTTTTACCAAATCTCACTAAGTGTTCTTGAGCCACGAATAATAACAACATACAATGACCTTCTTATTCGACAGGTATCTCTTTTTCCACTTGGATTTCAGATTACAAATGAATCTTGAGCATAATGAAGCGAAAGAAAAAAAGAAAAAGCCGAGCGCATATTATTACAGAGAAAACGACTATGGCTGATCCACTCATCAACCTCGCAATAGAAATAACACGAATTTCTGTTTCAATTATTATCGTTTTGGGAACAATGGGCAATGGGCTTAGCATCATCATACTGACCAGAAACAGTTTCAATCATCATGCATGTTCTCTGTATTTTATTGCTTTGGGTATCAATAATCTTTTCTATGCCACTGTTCTACTCATCTTTAATCTGCTGGCCGATGGATATCAGCTCAACCCATCTACACCTTTCAATATTTTGTGCAAATTGATCAGCTATTGTCCGTATCTATGTCCAAACATCTCTGCGCATTTAATCGTACTTGCGTCAAGACGATAAACTCGGATGTGTATTTAAACCTGATACAGTATTCAAGCAAGTATTTGTAATTATCGAAGTAGCTCTGTTTGCCATCATTGCACCCTTTCCGATGATAATTTTCGGCTTGTTAACCATCTGCAATGTAAGTCGATTGCACATCACTCCGATCATACCCAGGGGCCGTCGCACTAAAAGACAACTGATTCGAATGCTGCTACTTCAATTAACCATTCATCTTATTCTCACATTACCCTTCTCCTCACTCTTTCTCATGTTGACTCTGCCAATCGTATTTCAATCTACTGTCGTGTTCTTTTTCCTTTACATCATCTTCAAACTAGCGTTCTATCTTTCGTTTGTTATCCTATTTTTTCTATACATTCGTACGGCTCGAATCTATCGAAACTAACTCATTCAGTCAGCAAAGATTATATTTCATTTGCGATTTAACAACTGCGTTCACGTCATGGTCACCTAAATACGGCTATCTCAACGACTGTGTCATCATCATAATATACATAATTAAATACAATGGTGCACGAAAAAAAGACTAAAAATATTCGACTTACGATTGATGACATTCAATATTGACTGTATGAATCCATTGTTATGATTCAATCTTCTCGAAAGCAATCTTTCAACCTGCAGTAGAAAAAATGTGTCATACAGAATCTAAGAGGAATTCCGAGGAGGACATAGTTGTGTGGGTAGATGTGGACATTCATTTCATACACATCTACACCCTATTCAATTTTCTATATATATCTCGTATCTTTTCACGTATATCTGGTTTCCTGTATATATGTTTATAGTCCCGCCTCTATGTATATATCCATATTTGTGGCCATACTGGTAAATCGAGACGTACACTTATATGTCTACTATTGTCTCTTGTATCTATCCACTTTGCTCTATGTTGAATGAAAAATAAATGAATGCTGTATTCTTTAAACTAATTTGAGCGAAACAAGAATTAAATAATGTGAAAAAGAACATACATAAACAATATAAATTTGTTTATCGAACAAGCATTATATTATCCAAAACAAGCTTAGAGTGTAAGTAGGTGTGTGGATGTGCTGCTGTTCATGTAGTATATGTGTGAGCTTGATTCTTCTGATTATGGACGTCCACGCTTACACTCCATTCACTCAAGACAACATGATTCATATTTTTGACAATAAACAAAAACATCTAAAATTTCAAGAGTTACAAGCGTAGCAGAAGATATTACCAGAATTATCAATTAACGAGAGAGAAAAAATTCCTACTCGTTGATTTCTCGAAGTATTGTCGTCAGTACAGAAATGTGCATGGAATTTCCATGAAATCGCTTGATTTTGTCGTAGGTTTATCGAAACTGTGAGATCTTTGTCTCACTTGTAATTTATATATATGTGTTGATCAAAATTAAAGTTGAGTCAAATTTAAAATGTGCCTAGACAAAATTGAAATTTCTTTTCCGATAAACAGAAAAAGTTAAAGAAAGACAAGAAATTGAAGTAACAATAAACTTTGTTTTCTTTTACAAAACTTATTAACAAATATCATATGAGGATATGGATACAATAGAGATTCTACCCTCATCCACATCTACGTACAAAACCAAACAGTCACACACCAGGTACAACCCACTCAGAAATCAGGACTGCAGCAAATCCAAAGTCTTAGGATTCGCTATTATTTAATATGGATTTGATTTCAAATGAATCAAATCTCAAAGGGTTGAGCAAGATAAGATAACATCAAAAATAATCTGCTTTACTAGAGGTTCAGCACAACCAGAAAAAGACTTGATGATTTGAAACAAGATCGTCAGTATCTGAATTTAGATTCGATATTAGATTAAAATAATATAAATAGTTTGCGTTGCGCTAAGAGTCATTTAATTACAAAAATTTTTATGCAAATTTGCTGCAAAATCAAATCCACGCTCAGAATTCAAATCTTAACCAGAACATATATATATATATATCTATAAATGAAACCTGCTCACAACAATACAATGAATATATATATATAGGACGATAAGAGAAGAAAAAAACTCATACAGTAAATAAATTCGTTGAATGTTGAAGAAGAGGAAAAAAATCGTAAAAAGAATTTCAAGAAAGAATTTCAAAAGAAAAAGAAATTCTTCATGACACCCATGTGGCAGAAAAGGGCAACTTATGACACATGACAAACAACAGAAGAAAAACACAAGAATTTACGTACATGGTTATAATTATAAGGGCGACAAAAAACTCTCATGATGTCATCTAACGAAGTTGCAGTTAATAAAAACAAAAATACTCTGACTTTGACTCATTTGATTTTGTAAATACTTAAATTTAAAAATAGATTATTTGTCTCATATAAATAATTAACTTCACAGAAATATTTATTTTTATTTCTTACTTATATTCAATGATGTCAGAAGGAGAACAAGAAATTGTACCATTCAATAAAATACAAGGAATAGCGTCGACTAATGTACCAGCATATTCTAATGAATCTGATGATTTCGTTTCTTTTGAAAGATTCTATGTTCATGGAATATATACTGGTTACAAATGGCAATGTGTTGAATTTGCTCGTCGATGGTTATTATTACGTAAAAGTTGTATCTTTCAAAATATTGGATTTGCTGCTGATATGTGGCAACAATTGAATTATGTAGAACGTGTTACTGATGCTAAAAAATTTCATTTAAAAAACCATTCGAATGGTTCACCACATAAACCTCAATGCGGTGCTTTACTTATTTATCCTAGCAATGAAGAAGCACCACATGGACATGTTGCTGTTATATGTGAAGTTCAAGAAAACTTTATTCGTATAGTCGAACAAAATTATCAATTTCATTATTGGTCAGGCGATTATGCTCGTCAAATTCCCATGATATATCGAAATGGTCTTTATTATATTCAAGATCAACACAATGTTTATGGATGGATGGAAATTGAAAATAATAATCAATTAAAACCATTAGATGAATCAAATATAAACTTCATTCTTCCAAAATATCAACAACCATCATCAACTGGTGAATTACAACGTTGTTGTATTATGAATAAAACTTTTGATAATGATTATTTACAAATCGATGTTGATAATGGAAAAGAAAATTTTCTTAGCCAATCCGATGACAATGATATTTATTATTATAAAGCAAATGAAGATTTCTTTGTAAATATTAGTAGTACATCCAATGAATTGTATCGATTATTTTTGCAAGTTACAGATCATATTATTCACAATGATGAATTATTAACACTTTTTGAAATACCAAATGAATTCTGGTTTCGAATTCGTAGATCATGGATAGATGAACAAGATTTTGATCTAATAGATCATGTGAGTTTTAATTTTGATGGACAAAATTTGAAGCTACATCCATATGAAAGTAATCATGCGTTAACAATTCTTCAATCTGCTATTGCACAAGAAAAACAAGCTCAAACAATGAATCTCAATTATGATTTTATGTCTAGTTTTCAATTACATCATCTTTTAGTGAGACAGTGGAAAAGATTAAATATAAAAACTATTATTCATATATTAATCGATAATAATGAAGAAGATTTAGAGACTATTTCGTATATACAAAAGGTAATGTCAGAAGCAGGTATTAATTCAAAATTATGTCTATGGTCAAATGATCTCTATTGGAAAGATTCAATGATTGTTGATAAAGACGGTGAAATTGTTAAAACTGTTTGGAAATTATGGAATTGGGAAACAATTTTTCAAAACTTTACAGATCAATATCGTAATAATACACAAGACAATGAATGGGAATTAATGAATGACGAACGTTCATATATAAGTGATATTTTATTAAATGAACAAATCAGAATTATTGAACCTTTATGGAAATCAATTACAAATCATAGTGCATTTTTATCCATTCTATATGAAATGTTTCCAAATCATCCTAATATTGTACAAGATCAATGGATGTCATCCGAACATTCAGAACATCTTCCCTGTGTCGATCGGTCTACGATAGAACACAGTAAAGGTATTATCAAATCACATGATGCAAAAGAAAATATTATTATAAATGATGGTATGGACGAATATTTGGATTATGATTACATTTCTCAAAAAATAATGTCAGGAAAAAGTTCTGATGAAATCATTGTTAGTTTAATGATCCATGGTTTATGTTCTGGTCATTGTATATGTGAAGATCAAAATGATTTTACTAATACAAAGAATTCTAAAACATGCTTTTGTATAATTTGAAAGATATGTTCTTAGTTCGATGGTGTATTAGGTCAGATAAAAATAAATGTGAAGTTTTATTACACTAATCTAATTCTCTATAGTGATAATGTGCATGAGCGATCAAATCTTTTCAATCTAGACTAAGTTCAGATATTTTCAAAAAATATTATTGAAAAAATAATGATAGGGAGACGAGGATGGAGAATCTCATTATGGCGTTCAAATGAAAGATGTTTAATGCTTCGTATTTCGAATTTACATTTTGCGCTGTATAAAATTAATGATATTCAGAAAAACACTCGCAACCAATGTCAAAAAAAGATGCACTTTACAAAAGCATGCCAATATGGATTTTTTTTTGATTTCGATTGTTGGAAGAATAATTGTCCATGTGCTTTACTTAATAGTTAGTGGGTGTGAATAGGGCGTGTGACTGTGGCTGCAACTGTGAATGTCTTTTTCTCAAATTACACGTACAATCATTCCTACACATAGCCATGATAATTCAACATGTCTGAAACTTTACAGATGGAACCTTAGTAAATGAGTGCTTGCATTGGATTGGAGTGTGTTTTATTAATATCTTACTTATTCAAAATGAATGAATACATAACCTGACATTGTAGTGAAGAAAACCTCTAAGCATTTTAATGTACGGAGATTCATATAATAACAATCAGTAAAAAATACGCATTATGAAAAATATTTTGTAGTAATGTCTAAAGAAAGAATGAGATTTAAAGAAATTCATATAAGAAAAGCGTTTCTAGCCTAATGACTTTGTTTTGAAACGAATCATAGCTTTCAGTAACAAATTAAGCTTAATAAACAAGTTTTACTCATATAGAAAGTACAAATGTGTATCAAAAAAATCTCATGAGAGTCGATTATTTATAGTCTACTCCTTTTTTTTTTTAAATTTTTTTTACTTTTTTTTTGTATAAGAAAATAAGGCGATTTAGTAGTAAAAATGTTGATTACCTAAACGAAAACATTAGTCAATATATACTTCAATACAAATGATTTCATGCAAAGAAAATATTGATAATGTTAAACGAATGTCTTTCTCTTGTTTACGACTTAGTTTTCAGATAAATCATTGTCATTACTTGGTTACGTATCTTCAGCTAAAACTTTTTTTCAGTTCACTAAAGAAAAGTAAAAAAGAATTCGTAGAGATAAATCAAGCAAAAAAAGAACTATTTTTCTCTTCTTTTGATATTGTTTGGAAGGGACAAAACAGAAGTTGGTGGTATGCATTAGGTATCGGTTAAATGTGTGATAGATTTCGATAGCTTTGACCATTTCTAAATAACGCAAATTTAGCAGAAATTAGTAATAATTTAACTAAAAAAACTGTTCATTTCCGATCAGTATCTCTTTCAAATTGATATTTATTATCTCAAATAAAATTATAGTCAAATGCAAAAGTTTAAGCGAAATTGATTTTTCAGTATTTTTTTCTCATTTCTCTTTTTCAATTTTTTTTTCGTATTAAGAGGTAAGCATCTGATTCAAATGGTGAAATAGATAGTACAAGAGACCAGCTACATGATGTATTATAGAACGCTACTCTGTCCGTCTATATAGATTTTTTATAATTAAAATACATTTTCCCCATCAAAAAATAGATTTTGGTGCCTTTCAGTATTTTGCATTTCCTAACCAAGAGATTTTTTCGAAAATCAAAAACAAATATATCAATCGATAGAAAATTTCACGCTCTATCGGATTACAACTCCAGATTTTTTTCTAGGATCAATCGTCACCTTCAAAACTTGGTTTTAGTGAGAATAGTCAACAAAAGTGGAAAAATTGAATTACCTCCAACAAACTCCCTCTTATTATAATGTTTTATACACCGCTAGAAAGACCGTTCAAAACTGGACAAATATTGTCTTTGTAGTCCGAATATCACTGATTTTTCACACCCACCTTATTGAAATATTGTTTTGAGAAACACAGTTAGCTAGCCTTCTTTTAATTATTTTGATGGGAGAAAAATGCTGACTATTCTCACTAAAACCAAGTTTTGAAGGTGACGATTGATCCTAGAAGAAAATCTGGAGTTATAATCCGATAGAGCGTGAAATTTTCTATCGATTGATACATTTGTTTTTCATTTTCGAAAAAATCTCTTGGTTAGGAAATGCAAAATACTGAAAGGCACCAAAATCTATTTTTTGATGGGGAAAATGTATTTTAATTATAAAAAATCTATATAGACGGACAGAGTAGCGTTCTATAATACATCATGTAGCTGGTCTCTTGTACTATCTATTTCACCATTTGAATCAGATGCTTACCTCTTAATACGAAAAAAAAATTGAAAAAGAGAAATGAGAAAAAAATACTGAAAAATCAATTTCGCTTAAACTTTTGCATTTGACTATAGAATAGAACATTTCAAAAGAGATTAAATATCGAATCAATCAAACTCAATTGAAATATTTGTATCAGCAGTAGTATTATCTCTTAATGAAAAATAAATGAAAATGTTCAAATATATCATTTATAAAATGAACAACATCTCGGACGGCAGTTAGCGAAATCTCACGAATTCTTTCGCATTAAACTGTTTCTAAAGAGAAAATACACGTGAAGTTTCGTTGAAAATAATTTTTCACGATCAAAAAAGTAGCAACTTTTTTCGTTAAATCGATCATATGGAAAGCGCTTTAAATAGATGAAAGATTTATTTAATAACTGTAATTATTTTTTTGAATGATAGTGTCAAATAATTGTTTGTAATTAAAGAGAGAGAGTTAATGACAGTGAAATAAAATAAACTGAATATTTGTTTTATGTAGTTATTTTTTATTCAATCCAATGGGTCCAAGATAGATTGTGTCATTTACTTTGTTCATGTGATTATTTCAAATTTATATTAAATATATGAAACGACAGTACTTCTACATTCTTATAATTCAAACATAATATTAATATACTAATATTTTCTGCTTCTTATTTTCTTATATCTAAACGTAAGAAAATTTTCATCTCATATTAAGCATTTAATAATATCAGAATGACAAAAGTGATTCGAAGTGAATGTAGGCTATTTTTCTTAACTCTCTTATCTTATATATTGGTTTTTCTTATCTCGTAATAGGAAACACTCAACACATGACTGTTTGATATCCTTATACTAGTGCCATATTTGACAGCTGAATGCATACTGTTGAAGCTATGCAATATATTGATTTCGAGAAAAAGCATCATAAAAGAAAAAAATAACACATATGACTATTGAGCATGAAAGCATGCCATAGTTTAAGTATCTCATATAGGATTAATATTTAATCGAATTTTACATTCGTTTTCGTTCATTTCCATTCTAAAGTTTTTAGCAATTGAACATACAACGATCTTCTATGTTCATTGTAATAAAATTAGATATTTTCGTAAACATTCATTTTATCTATGCCATCAAACAGTATTCTAATACATTTCAGAAATTGATCTGTTAGTTACGAATGATATAGTTCGATTGATCATCATTTATATGCATATAATTGAATAGTTACATATACAAATATATCTCCTTTAAACAGAAAAAGACTAAGAAATCCAATCAAGTACATTCCTCATATAGTATCATCATGTAATTAATAACATGCTACAAAAATTATAGAATAAAAGAAGAATTCAAAATATTAGAATTAATTTCTTCCGACGTATAGATTTCATAACCAAAATTAGAATACTATAGCTTAAGCATGTTCTGAAAAATAGGTATATATATTTCATACCCGTGTTCTCATGTATATGGAATGACCATGTAACTTATCACAATTTTTTTTTTGTCTATTTGATTGTAATTAGATATTAATTTACTAATTCTGTGTAATATATACTTAGACTCTCGTGTTAGAGTTTCTAATGTTATTCAATCTTTTTTTTTTGTCATTATTGTAGTATATATAAGAAAACTAACAATCTCATTTTTGTCTACTTTAAAAAGAACCATAGATAATCATAGTTTATATGATTTACATAATCTTCTAAGGATTGATACTGACAGATTTTAATATGAATGTTTATGATGAGATTTTTTTTATCATTTACTGAAATAAAATTATCACCACTATTAAAATCATGTGTAATAAAAGAAAGTTTTATTTAAATAGATGAGATTCAACGATTATTTTCACTCTTTTTATCACTTGTTTATCTCAAATTAAGTTATTATATACATGTCTAACGCTATCGTTGATACTTTACAAGGGGAACGATTCATCAAAATAATCTTGTCTTATCTTGACAAATTCGAGTTTTTCTTCGAGATACAAACGTTATTTCATTAATTCCATTCATGCAGACGGTGCAGTTGTATTTTATTCAATATCAATATATGAATCTAAAATGAGTGTAGCGTCTCGTTAAACGTTAACTACAGTGGATAATAATGAAGTATCGATTATAGATAACGCATCTTATTTTTGTATTAATTTGAGTAAAATACTAGATGCTATCTCAGAATGATGGTAAGAGCTATCTGTTGTGTTTTGCGATATCGTATTTAAGGTTGCATTTGCACCATATAATGTCGTATTTTCTTTAAACATGGTCGTAAAACATCAGTCCAATTTGCAGCAAATTACAGTGTGTAAACGAGTCGTATACGTACTGTATCGCTCGTTGAAAGCGAAAAACTGTGACCAGCGGATTTAAACATCGTATTCCTACTTCCAGTTTTTTTACAATTTCTCAGAATCTTCTGGTCGAAATCACCTGTACATCATTTACCTTGGTACTATTTTTAATACAAAAATCCTTGAATATATCTTAAAATTTTTAAAAGATTAATTTTGATTTTTGTTGAATTATATTTTGTTTGAAAGCATTTTAATGAAATTATGTTAAAATTAATTTTTCTACTAATTTAAATAAATGAACATATGGACTTCTATATCGAAATTAATGGTCGAACTTTTTAGTTTAATAATTTCTATTTAATAAATTTTATTAATCATCTATCATTATTTGTTGATCTCGAAAATTTTCTACATTATCATTTTGATTTCTAGCAGTTCATAGTAAATATTCTTCGTTTAGAAAAAGAATATAAGAAAGAAATGATAATAATTTATTCAATGTCATTAAATCAAGTAAAATATTTTATCATTCAAATACTAAATCATTGTTTTATTGAAACTTATTGTTGAAGAAATTGTATATTTCATCAGTGTGGAATTCAAATTGCCAGAATATCTGTTGAATTAATATGCTGAAATTATTAATTATTCATTAATACAAAATTAGAACGATTTTATTTATTGGCATGTCAATTGTCAATTATAATTGTAACGTGATGAAAAAAAATAAATGCAAATAAAACTTGAAAATATTCTTAGCTAATTAGTTACTCCCCTTCCCCTTTGGCCATTGGAGTGACTATTTGTCGAACGATTGCAGGAAGTAAAAGAAGCATAGAATTAAAAAAAAGTTTGAAAACACGTCTTGTTGAATTTTGTTTTTAAATAGAATGTCTTCCTATATATAATAGAAACGTATTGTATGATCTATAAAGAACGATAACAATATCTAGTACTATTATCAATGCCATACGAAAGTTTTATAAAAGAATTAGATAAAAAAGAGATGGTAAAAACCACTTAATGTTAATTACGAATTTTCCAGAAAAGTAAACCATTCGTTTTTCAGCGGCTACAACTCAGAAATAAAATCTGTTTATGTCACATAAAATAATAGAGCAAATCATTTTCTATAAAATGAGACGACTTCGAGCTCTCTACAACGTTTTATCGGCGAACTACATCAGATTGACGGAAGGTTTGAGATAGAATTTTTCAAGTTATATTCATTTTTAAGGTTTCCTCCTCAAAAATCGATCTCGGACCAAATGTACTCAAATTGCATGAAATTTTCAAGACGCTGTATATTTATGAAAGTACTCTTTTTATATTATAATAGTATCAAAGCTTAATTCAAAAAAGGCACTATCTCATGACCTTCATTTTGACATGCTCTCTCACACACGAAAGAAAGCAATTGGCTTCAATGAAATTCCTTGGAGAAATCTAGGATGCGCGATCAAAAATCTGAAAACGGCATATTTTTCCAGCAGGTGATGACATAAAAGATTTTCGCAAAAAAAGAAGATGTTGTATAAAAACTTGTGTGATTGATGAAAGGTCAGACCTTGAAGCTATCTGTCCGTGCATTTATCTTAATATCGATAATTCTGACAAAAATTGACTTTTTTTGAGGGAGACAGGGGAAGGGCGAGGGAGATTTGAGAAAACATAAAACTTAAACTATATCTATATAATAAGAATAATATTTCTTGCTGATTATTTTTTAGCTGTAAAATATAAGTTATTATCATACTTGAAGATGATTATACTTGTCTCCTACTTAATTATAATGAATTTGAATACGATGCGTTTATATGCAATCAATCATGCTGATATCTCATCTTATTTTTTCTTGTTAAGAACTTTATTTCGAAAAAATAAATCGTATTTGGTACAAAAAGAAAATAATTTCCTATGAAAATCTTTCTAATGAAATCTATTCACTCTATCTAATACTAAAAAAAATGATCTTAAATTTTTACACAAAGAAAAAATAATTAAAATTATATTGATTAGAATGGAACGATTGTTTAAATACATCACACTTGAATAACATTAATTTTATTCATTAAGAGTTGCAAATATTTAAACGATACGATGAAATGAATCTTTAATTATTATTAATAGCTATGAGCTAATGGTTTTTTAAATTTATTACTACGACTAGTACTATAGAATGATGAAGAACTGTTCTAATACATTGTTGACAATATATATGTCACATGTTGATGAAACAATATTAATTCTTACGTACGATAAAGTTGATGTATTTTATTGTTTTTTTACTGAATGAAATTATATGTGAATGTTTTGATGAAAGACATACCAATGAATTAAAAATCCTTCTGGTTTTTTTTTTTTCGTTTCCTTAATGGAAGTCCTTTATAGATAAGACAAACAAATAATAATTTTCTTGTTTTGTTTTTTTTTTTGTCAAAAAGAGTTTCGTATTATTTGATGAATGTGAGATTATCATTTATGAAAAACAGTCAATAGAAAAAAGAGAAAAAAAAACAGATATCTAATCTTCATTCAAATAAAAGAAAGAGTCAAACAATCAATTCGCACATTCATCCATCTGCACACATTTCTACAATTTTCGAAAATCGCAACGAAGTAAACGTGTATAAGTTTTTTTAAATTGTCGATTGGCAAGTGCATAACAAAATGGATTAATTGGACTATTTAAGTAGCAAAGAAAATAACAAGCATGAAAGAGATATGTATTAAACACAATACTTTCACGACATGTTTTGCAAAATGTTTGAATTATTGTATGAACATGCCACTAAAAATAAAATAAAGAAAATCAATTTTAAAACTTTAATATATTCTAAGAAGAAATCATGATTTTTACGGATATGAACAACTCATTAGGCTGTTAGTCAATATATTGAAAATGTCAGAATACATCTAAAATTATTCAAGACTATAGATCTAAGCAATGCATTATACTTGAATTTTCACTCTTATTCAATATATAAGAAAGAAATGATGAAACGATACGAGATCGAAAACATACTATATAATCCTGTTTGGTTCGTTCTTAAATTTTTAGCAATGAGAAATGTATGCATATGTTTTGAGCTTTTATGCAGATTCTATCTTTACTAGGTCATAACAGTACTTTCTTTTTCTTTTTATCTGACTCATATCACACAACATCATTGAATAGTACAATCATGCATCTGTATCAAGAAGAAACAAGGGAATTTTGAATATCAAAGCATTCGGAAATCGATGGAATATCTATACTCAAAAACTTTTTAAAAACATATGATCCGAAATAGATTTTCATAAAGTTGTATCAATGGAGATATGGCTAATATGAAAGTTCTAATGTTACAGATCATATATTCTACTTGACTACACAATTCCAAAACCTTTTGAATTTTGATGTTTCTTCGCGAAATCTGCTATTTTTCTCGACATATACGTTCCATTTCAAGAGTTTGTGGGAAAAAAATTCATCCGCCGTTAAAAGGTTGAAAATTTCAAATTTTATTTTGTATAAAACTTTTAAAGATTACTAACCGGTGTCCAACATATAACAAATGCACCCATAATAACAGTTATAGTACGTAATGCTTTTCGTGCTTTACTACTAGTACCACCATGCCGACCGAATGGTTTTTGTCTTGTTGTAGTCAACATTGTTGATTTATTTTGTGTAATAGGTAAAAGTATTCGATTTTCTTCTAATTTTTTATTTGATCCAACACCAGCTCGAGTTATATTAAGTAAATTACTTAAATTTGTAGCCAGTGTAGTTACTGACGTATGTTCATCATTAGTTTCATTTGATGATGAAGGTTTAATAACATCAAGTCCATTTGATAACCTTCTGTTATTATTATTATTATTATTATCATTATTGTTATTTAGAAATGAACTTCCAGCATCATCGTCAATACTAATTTCATATTTTGATATTGATGATAGCGTTGATTGTTGTGTTGGTTTCATTTTCTTTGATCGTAGAGATGATGATGATGTGACTGTTGCTTGTGTAAGTTGATGACTTTTTGACATATTTAGTACAAAATTAGTCATATTAGATGATGAAATGCCTATTATATTTGATACTTTTTTTGCATTTGCTTGTGAACGTTTTTCAAGTGCACTTGCAACTTGATAAATAAAAAAATAAAGTACAAACATAACTAATAGTGTTATCCAAAAATAACCGATAGTCAAACCTGAAAAAAGAAAACTTTAACCTTATTATTTCATATTTAATATAACTAGCCTAGATTAAAATAAGCATTCTTATTCCATTGTACACTAAAATCAAAAAAGAAATATCATAACCTTTTGCTTTAATATTATGAAGACTTAAAGCAATAAATACACTTACTCGCATTGAAGATCAGAAGTACTTAAATTTGGCTTTTTACTGTATAATGGATAGCCCATAGTCGAAATAAAAAATATCAATGCAGGTACAAACCATGTTAAAAGCACCAAAAATATAATTCGTCTTTTCGTTCTCCAATTTCGATATTTAGCAGGAATTTTAACAGAACAAAAACGATCAATGGTAATTAAAAGTACCGTATATATAGATGCTAAGCATATAGTATAATCTAATGATAACCATATATCGCATAAAAACGAACCCAGCACCCATTGATTTTTATATATAGCTAATGTTAAAAAAGGCATTGAAATGCAACCAATTAAAAAATCACTTATAGCTAATGAAAATATAAAATAATTTGTCGGTTGACGAATTTGTCGATCAACGAAAAATGAAACAAGTACAAGTACATTACCACTAATAGTTAGTAATGATGTAAATGTACCAATAACAGCAAGTGCTATGTTCACTTGTAATGGATAAGGATGTATTGATGAAATAAAAATTGTTGATGATGATTCTTGAAAATCATAATTGGTCAAATTATACAATACCAATGAGTCGTTAAAAAATATAAACGAAAGTTGTTCTAACATACATGTAATGATAAAGAATATTTTAAAACTAAAATATTTTTCTACAATAAACAAATTAAATATATATTTATAAATATTATTTATTTGCTCTACGTCAAACAATTTGTCTAAATTACCTGATGGTAGTGTATATACTCGTCACTTATCTAAAATATATGAGATAGAAATAGAAAGAAAGAGAAAATATTTCTCTTATTTTGTTAGAGACACAGAGATAGATATTGATGATATTTATCTTCATTCGTCTATCGTTCGCGTTCCAAAGAAGATATGCATAGTCAATAAACCGATATATTTAGCTTATAGCAATAGACACATTTTCTTTTTTCATTCTAGTCTTATTGAAACATTCGATTTCTATTATTGAAATTGTTCAATTCTTTTATTGCATTGGAAAATCGAAGGCGAATATTTTGTTGCTTTATTCTCAACTTATGTGCTTATAATGATAATCATTTATCAAGAGACAGTCGTTCTAAACGCTGTTACCCACTTTTTCTAGCTCGTTTTTTCTGACGAACGCTTCTGTTGTTCGCTCTCATCAAATACTATTCTTCTTGCCAATAGTCATCAATTTATTCATAGATATAAAGAAAGCCAAAACAGCGGACAAAACGTTTATAGAAATCGTCTATCTATCGTTCGTTCGTTCGTTTCCTTATTTTCTTTCTTTTTTCTCTTTCGCTTTGTTACGAACAAAAAAAACTCTATCATTTAGTTATCTCTACAATTGATTTCTTTCTTTTTTTTGTTTTGTATTGATCGAACACTTGTACCTTTCTCTTGAGATGCCACAAATGTGATGGATTATTTTATGAATGAAAAACGAGTAAACATGAGTAATATTGTTGTTATACAAACATACACATCCAAAGAAATTCTTTACGTAATTTATCATAATAGCCTTGAATCGTCGATAGATGTTATCAGTTCGTCCATCTCTTTTTCCTTAATTCGCTTCTATCTAAATAAAGATTATAAGCTCGACTTTCTCTAATCGGCGGTTATTACCTTCTAATGTCGTCACTTTACCGGAGGCGGCGAAAAGTAAACGAGCAAGTGTGTGCAAAAGTTCTATGATGATAAATGAGTGTGTGTTGTAAGATACGGGTGGTGCTTACTATGCTTGTTGAATGAACTAAAATAGAATGTTTATGGTTGTCGGACACAAACAGGCGGAACAATTGAATAATAAAAAGCGACAAAAAAAAATATAACTAATTTACAAGAGATAGATAGTATATATATATATATATATATATATGTATGTATTCACTAGAAAAGTCAAAATAATGGCAAAGTGATAGAATTTGTCGGAACAGGCGTGTGTATGTTATCAGATTATTATATATATGAGAAAAAAGGATTTATTAATCAACACCTAAAAAACAAGAAAACTCGAGAACTTTTAATCATTGACATACATGTTGAGTAGACTTAACATAGACTGACGAATTGAGTAATCATGTGTAAACATTATTTATTCGTTTTATACTTTACAGTCAATACTATAATCGATCAAATAGCGCGAGTAAGAGATGATAAGACTTCATCATCTATATACAATAACAAAAATATATATTTGTTTTTCATTGATAAAATATACAAAAACGACTTTTATCTTTGATTTGATTCTTTTTTCAAATCGATCATAATTCGTTACTTCATAGAATATAATAAATCTTATCTTGGCTTCTTGTTTTTTTTTTTTTTCTCAATCAAAAAATAAAACAAGAAGAGAAACAAAACTGAAAAATCATCCCTATCAATTCACAATAATAATAACAACAGATACATCATCTTTGAAATCTATTGGGAAATTATTCATGCTTTTTTTTTATTTTTATTATAACATGTATTCAAAAAAACAAAACAATCATTCCACAGCAAACGATATTTCTAAATTTTTTAATGTGAATAAAAAATGATTTGATTAAATTTAAAAAGAAAAACAGAAATGCATAAATTTGATTATTCTCATTGCATGTATATTAGTTAAAGATCCTGATGAACTTTTAATTCAGCACCCCAATCAGTTGCTTGACTACCAACAAAAACATCATGTTTATCAAGAATTTCATCTTTAGTTAATTGATTATCCTTTAAAAACAAATAAAAGAAATCGAAATTTATATAACAAGAAAAAAAATAATTACTTGATTTTTATCAGCTTCACGAAATAAATGTGAAGCTTCAGCTTCAATATTATCATAATCAACTGGCATCAACCATAATTCAACTTCTTTACGATTCAATTTTCCATCATGATCAAGATCACGATAATTAAGAAAATTTTCTCGTTCTATTTGAACCCAATCAGGTTCAGTTGTATTCTGATTTTCTGTACTATCCCACATATCATTAATAAATTCTTCAATTGATATAAATCCATCTTTATTTCGATCTATATCTTCAATTGTTTCTGTTATAACAAGATCTTTCATACGAAGACTTTGTTCTGGATGAATAAAATCAGCATATTCTTTTTTATTTAAACTTCCATTACCATCTTCATCAGCTTTAATAAATCTATTTTTTTGTTATAGAAGAAGAAAACAAAAGAAATTTTTATGTTGTAATAAAAAATATCATAAGAACAAAAGTCTTTTAGAGCAAGCTGTAGCTTACTAATATTTATTAAAGATAAGCTTTTCTAAATAAAAACAAAATCGGATAATAATAATGTTTTCAAATTATTATTTTGAATATTGATTTAATTCTTTGTATTCATATTCCTTCTTATTTTCGTAGAAATCAAAATGACTTTTAGGTAAGACTTATCAATGATTTTTCTATTGAGACTATATGCATTATAGAGAACCAAATGGCCTATGAATACCTCGAAAAAATAGTTCGTGCTTTCTGTTTGTTGCTGCAAAAATACTTTACTTTTATGATTTTTTTTAAATGATTGCCATAGTACCCTCCTGAGATGCCTGGATATTTGGCAAGCTCGATATGAGATAATCACTATCAATAATATTAATAAGTATTCTCTCGATAATTTGTGTTATAGATAAAAGCAAATAAATATAATGTCAAGATGTATGTTGTTTAACTATAAGCATCAGACTAAAATACGGCTCCACAACTGAAAGATTCAGTGGTATTCACTATATTTTTCTCTCTAGCGACAATACAATAAAACCTATGATATTAGATAAGAGAAGGCAGTGGAAAATCATATACAAAAATGAGAAGAAATAAGAAAATGGCAACATAGTCTATGACACTTCTCCCGTCCTTTCAGGAACAGCAGACCGTAACGAAAACAGTTTTAGATCTTGTGATTGACTTCTATCGTGAAATAAGAACATCAAATCTGTCGGTTTCTGTTAACAATATAAAAGACACAGTTTTACTATCGTTGTATCTTAGCATAGGAACAGTGACAGGATGTGAAACACTCACAGAAAAAAACTATTTTCATCATTAACACCTATCTTTATGCAAAGTTTTTGAAGTGGAAATTCTAAAAACAGCTTTTCTTGTGCTTTTAAGGGGCGGCACGTGTCACAATACGATATGTCGTCATCTATATCATCATTTTCCTATTTCTTCTAATTTTTCTGTGACCTTTTCGCTATGTTCTCTTGTCTAATGTCATATAGGTATTATTTTATTGTTGCTAGAGAGAAAAATATAGTGAATTGTAGTTGTATGTTTGTGAATCTCTCACTTGTGGAGTCGTATTTTGACCTAAGGCTTATAGTTAAACAACATACATCTTGACATTATATTTCCTTGCTTATATCTATAATACAAATTATCGAGAGAATATTTATTAATTTTATTGATAGTGATTATCTCGTATCGAGCTTGCCAAATATTTTGGCATCTCAGAGGAATACTACGGCAGTCATTAAAAAAAGATCGTAAAAATGTAGTATCTTCGCAGCAATAAGTTATGGACACGAATTCTTTTCAGGTTATTCATAAGTCATTGAGTTCTTCATAATGGATATATTCTCGACTCAAAAGCGATTTATCAATTAGAAGAATTTTCTTGTAAGAGTAAAAAGAGTCCATTGAAATCGAGATTCAAGAGTATATTAATGGATAGTCACCTATAAGAAAACAAAATCAAAATGTGTCAGAAAATGTTTTTCGCCTATTAGACTTTTTAGAACTATTCATGCTGATTATTTTTGCAAAAAGAAACTTTTAATTTGACAAAAATTCATGATGACGTTAGAGTTACAATACTCAAAAATATCATAGCTCTATCGACAGATCTGGTTGAGTTCTTTTACTAAAACGGTTAGTACAGATCGTTGCATAACGTTTTATAGACAAAAGAATTCTCCGAGAATTATTGATAGGTCATATCATCATAAATGTGTCAAAATCGAAAGCTCTATTGTTTCCTGTCCGGACTACGTTGAATACATTAATTGCTAATTTTAGATGAATGTTCCATAACGGGAAAATGGAAATTTATTCATTGATTTTTATATATTTCAGGAAGTTGAAACAATCGTAAGAGTCAAAGAAAGACAAAATGACAGGTTACAAATGATTGAATAACGAAACAAATAATGAACAATACACACATGAAGTGCTATTTTTAGTTTGTATCCAAAGTACAGGTTGATAGGGAATTAAAATCACAAGCTGACTTGTAAATTATCTGCTAAACGAAGATCTCTGATCTAATTTTGAAACTAATATTATACTATTGTTTCGTACACGACTAAATTCTATCAGAAAAATTACAATCTCTATCGAATACAAAACTTTTATTTCGTTCTTTCGTTATCCAAATAGAGAATTTGACTTAATGAAAACAACTTCGATATGACACATACATACAAAAGATGACAAAGAAACAGAAAAATTAAATATACATGTGACGAAAAATTTAAATCATTATGCTATCGATTGATTTATAAAACAGCAGAAATCATATGTTTAAAATTCTGTCGGTTTACTTTTATGCGTAGGTTATTCTAGACTAAGCAAGTTTAAAATTAAACTCGGTGAAGAATATTATTCTATAATAAACATAAGTAATACTCAAGTCTTACATCCTAACAAAAATAATAATCAATATAGAAATATAGATAATTACCTTCGTCGATCTTTCTTTTGTAATCGAAGAAATTGTTCTGTTAATTTGTCCGATTTCGAAGTATTATCATCTAATTAAAATAAATATTAATTAATGACTGACGTAAAAGTTCGCAGAAAAATATCTTTACAAAATGTACATTGAACATGCTTTTAGCTATATGCCAAAGAAAAAAGTCCGTCATGTTTTGCTTCAGAGAAATTAATAAATATATATTTACATAGTAGTAAAATGTTGTATGTAAAGAATAAGCGACTATGATTATGACAAAGAATATCGATACTATAGTATGTTTTAATATTTTTTGTATGCATATTAGTGTATTTTGTTGTTCTTTCCTTCATTAGACTCAACGAACTGTATAGAAAATAAGAAAACATTGCTTTAAAGATTGATTGCTTTGGTCATCATAACCATCGTGTAGATTAGTTGTTACAGATTATTATTTTTTTGTCGTATGATAGAACTTCTTTTTCAACATGTAATTAGGAAGCAATTTTACAATAATAGGTTCTGAATAGACATATTTGATTTGCCGAAACACATGTTTGCTGATGAAAACAAAAAAGGAGGCGATATTTTTCTACGAACTTTTGCATTAATCGTTATACAAGTGTACTTTAGGTATGCCAAGTAATGGCCGATGTACTATAAATCCTTCGAAAAAGATTTTTAAAAAAGCTTTCTCTCTACATGATCTGATAGTAGAAAATGATGTTCTACATTACTACGACATTTGATCATTCTCTAACTAATATCATAATAATAAAATTTAGATAAGAACTACTTGTGATGATCTGTGACGGCAATATTTAGATAATATTCTTGCCTTTGGCGTGTATCTTGATCTTGATTTTCTCTCGTCGTCTCTAATGTCTATTCATCTATATATATTCGGGTACACATATAGTAGTGTTGAAAGAACAAACAAGTACAGAAACAGGTTCATCAAGTTTTTCATTCAAGTATATTTTTTTGGATTTAGTATCATAGGATCAAAAAGTCGAACTTGGGTTTTTAATCAAAGAAATATGAAGCGAAATTTCTTCTCTTAGAATATATATGCTATTTTGGCAAAAGGCCAAAGAAAAGAAATTTCGATCGTGTTACCGCTTTTTCTGAGAAGTTTTCGTAGTTTTTTCTTTTCAATTTTGAGAAGACTGTCTTTTTACTTACAACAGCATTGAATAAAAATTCTTATATATAATTCAAGTACGACACATGATACTAGCTAACGTTATCTGTCAACGTGCTTTTAAAAATTCCACTTAAATATATTTGTGAATATGCCAGTTTCATTATGTTTTTATTTCTACATTTGAATGAAAAAGTCTATGTCGAAATTTATTTATCGTTTTTCTGAGAACTTGGTTTTCTATCAAAAACAAAGGAAACTCCTTCCACTCGATTATAGTTCATTTCTGTGTTGGGCAATATGTGAGATTTAGCGTCGTGATATCACATTTTTATTACTTATTTAAACGTCATATGAACTAAAATGATCGAAAAAATAAATGAATGGAAATGACTTTCAACACTCTATTCAGGTAAAGACTTCGCATAAGTCAAAATTTTGGTATAGTTTGACGTATCAGACTGACATTTCTACCATTATGATATTAGTTGAACAATACCCAAATATTCGAGAACTGTAAAGTATGGCTTTAACGATAAAATCACATAAAGAGAAAATTTCTTTTAGCTTTTTATAAGGTATTAAAATACTTTCGCTACTACTTTAAAGTATGTCCTGCGTAATATTATAACAATCTTACATAAAGCATAATATGTTGTTTTATCGTATTCATCCCATGAGATTTCATTATTTGAATCATTATTCATTTGTTTCCATTGTCGTTCAACATCATCAGTTATATAACGTGTTTGAACAGATTTTATCCAATCTTTTAGTTCTTGTTTTGTTATTGTACCATTATGATCTTTATCAATACGACCAAATAGAGCACTAAAATTAATCAACATAGATTTTCTTAATTGAAAATAAAATATTCACTTTTCGTTCATTACCCAAGACGTTTTTTACTTTCTTCAACGGATAATTTTTCAAACTTTTTTGCTTCTTCAGTACCTAAAAATGCTTCATGATCATAAGCCGTATTATGTTCTGCTGTTTGATCTTTATTCAAATCAGTATAATGTTCTTGTTGACTTAATGGCTAAAGGATTAAAATGATTAATATAAATTTAAAACACACAAAAGAAAAAGAATGATTACTAACTAAATCAAGTACACGTGATTTATGATCATCTTGTGTTCCCGTTGGTAAAATACCAGCATGACATGAAATGATAAATATAGAATATAATGTCAAGAATAACATTATCATCTGAAATAGAAAAATCAAATTTTCAATCTTAAAAAACGTACACAGTGTTAAGCATAGCATAGAATAAAATCCATGAAATTTTCATGTAGTCTTTTCGACTTTATATCGAGCTACAAGAAGCGACACAATAGTAAATCAATTAATTATTGATTAAAAGCTTGACGATTTTGATGAGACTAGAACATAGATTCTTACTATTTCATTACTAATAAAAAGTAATTATTAATAACAAAACAATAAATGCAATATGAAAGTGTAGATCTAAAAGTTTACTGAAAAATTCTAGAAATGTAAAGAATTTCGCTATTCACCGCTAAATATTTCTTATATCAATGATACATACATATTGAGATAGAATCTATGCTAGGAAAATAAAATTTAACATTGTCATAATGTTTTCATATGGAAGCAGATATCTAATCGATGATTACAAGTATTTCTGCTATCTTATTTGTGAATTTCAATATGATGTAGAAGATAGTCATGTTTTTTCAAAGTGAAATAAATAGACTAGAGAATGACAAACAATTTAACATATTTTTTAGCAGAATACGACAGAAAAATCAATCCTGTGTTCACCTTTCGTTGATTATCTATTGTTAAAAACTAATACAATCAAGACTAATGAGATTGTAGCATACGTAATGTTCAAATTTGTGATTTATTCTAATAGATTACAATAAAGGTATTTAGTGTTGTCAAAAAATTGATGATTAAAAAATCCTCATTAGTCGATTTGATGTAATATCATCAAACAACATGTGTTTGTAGTTAATATTTTATTTTCAAAAACCCATGGCAATGAAGTAGAAATATCATAAAAAGGTTAACAAGAAACGATCATTTGCTTATTTTAACTAATGCAGAAAGTTTTTTTTTTTCTAGACGATCATCAAAACTTATTTTATTTTAATCAAATAGCAATTAGAGATAAATGAATTGGTTCGTTGTTAAAGTGCAAGTTGTTATTTTTTTTTTAATCCATTATGATCGTTAGAGTTTGTTGACGAACACCAACTTCTTCACTCGTTGACATAATTAAATAAATGATTTACATGAAATTGACTAAGTAATAAAAGAATGCGTGAATATTCTTCGATATTTTTGTGTCAAGTCTTTTACAGTAATTCTATTAGTCTTAGTAATTTTGATTAAAAGAATCATCTTTGTTTTCCGACCGAAAATTTTTAGATTTTTCATTTTTGCTTTTTTTTTTATTCTATCTACTAGCCACATATTTCAACCATTAATATATAATATTATTAGTCAAAAACATATTTTTGTTGACAAAAAAAAAGAGTTGAGAATTCCCTTCGTTTCTCAACTGCAATATATCGAACTACGAGGGTGTTCTTAAAGTTTTACATCGATTCGAAAAAAATAGACACTTATAGATCCTTCTGTCAAAAACATTCTGTACATTATAAAAGTCTTAAATCAATGTGTAGTGATTTATTATATTACAATTTTGTACAAAAAATGAATATGATGAAGTTCAATTGTATATTCTAAAATAAATAATCTAAACAAAATAAATAAAAAATGAATTTTTTTGTCAACTTACAATTATATTCGAAATAATTTTTGATTTATAATTATTTATTAGTTGAAAATATTTTTTTGGTTTTAATAAATAATTTTCTTTATCTAAAAAAACTAAATCAATCAAGTAAATCCATAAGAATATCACTAAGAATTGTTGTATTTATTGTTATAGCTTGTTTAAAAATTAAACGTTGTTCATTAGTTATAATATGATTATTTTCTAAACATTTAATTAAAATTTTATGTAGAACTTTAGCAAATGATAAATTATCTGAATAAATTTTTGCTGATATTGCAATTTTTTCTGGTAAAATATTTAATAAATCATTTGAAAAATAAAATTCTTTACTATCAAACCATTTACTTATTATACATAATTCATTATCATTAAATGGACATGTACTATTTTGACATAAATACGTACATAATTTACAACGATCAGATAGATTTGTTAATTGAGTAAAAAGATTTGAAATAAATAAATTCATATTATCTGTTGAAATATTATTATTAAGCCATGGAATGCAACAATTAAGAAAAAATTCTTCAGAATATTTATTCATTAATTCAATTATAATAGAAAAAATATCATTAGATATATTAAATGAAACATCAATAAGCCATGGATAAATTAATGAATGAAAACGTTTGGAAATTATATTCGAATCTGATTCATTGAGAATTGATGACAAATTTTCTATTGTACGTTCTAAATTATTATAAAAAAAAAGAAAATCATTCATTATAAGAGAATTTCATATTAACAAAAAAATGAAGTTGAGAATCGCCTCGATTTCTCAAACACAATATATCCAATTGAACTAAAACTTTCTTCTACCTATACTCAAGCCTATCGAGTTCGAGTCTGAAATTTTAATTCTTAACGGAGTCCAAAAATTTTGAACTTGATCGACTCTAATCTGTAGTAGAAAATTTTTCAGATACCTAATGTACTGCTGATATTTGCCAGAGTTTAGAAAAACATGGACCTCTAGGATTGCGCTTAGTATTTTAATCTTTTCATTCGAACAAAAGAAGATAAGAAGCAGGGCAAATTTCGAGTCTATAACAAGTTTTCTTCTATTGATTGATATATATATATATCTAACTTGAAAATTTCAAACTTTTCTGCTACTCGGTTCTCTGCAGAGGATAGGGGTCCTCTTAAAACTTAATAATCTGTTTATCATAACGATAGTAAATAATCTCGAAATCTCATTTTTATACAATTTGAGTTCATACCTTCAATTTTTGTATCATTTATTGTTGAAATTTCTTCATTATAATCTACATTTTCAATAACATCAATATGAACAGTAAATCGTAAATGATTTGGATCAATATTATTTATTAAAGTATTTTTTATTGGTCGTTGACGTTTAAGAGAAATTTTTCTAGGTATGATTGTTTTAATAATCTTTTTAGATTGTATTTCTTGAATATAACCATTGATAATATCGAAAATTTTCTTTTCTTCATTTTTTTCCGAAATAAATTCTAAAAGATTTTGAACAATTGTCGTATTCGAAAATGATATATCTGCATAATTATACGATATTGGAAATGTATTTAACCAAAATTGGGCTAGACTTTCTTTTGATATAGTTGCCATTGATCATTAAGAATTCTGTACAATACATATCTCATCTTGATTTTCTTATTATTTATTTATCCAATACAATCAAATGTTTCATAGTGATATCTATCGAAAGTATTCCGTTATTTAACCAATCATGTATTTATGATGAAATATATATTAAACACATTTATGTTGTTTAACAAATGAGCAAGTTCTAGATGAATAATAAAAAATTTATTTTTTCTCCTATAATAATTCGTACACTTTTTCGTAGAGCACGTAATACAACAACAAAATCTTATGATATAATTACAAGTGGAGCATATAAAACAAATAATCTTCCACGTGTTGTACCAAAAGAAATTCCACGACCAAATAATATTTATAATTTAGTTACTGGGCCATATCAATCATCAATACTAATTAAAAATCAATGGCAATTAGAAGGTATACGTGCAGCATGTCGTCATGCTCGTACAATAATTGATACTGTATCAGAATCTATACAAGCCGGTATAACAACAGATGCAATTGATAGATTAGCACATGAATTATGTATATCACTTGGTTGTTATCCTGCACCACTTCATTATGAAAATTTTCCTCGATCATGTTGTACAAGTGTTAATAATATTGCATTACATGGTATACCTAATGATCGACCATTAAAAGAAAATGATATACTTAAATTAGATGTATCTGTTTATTATAATGGATTTTTTGGTGATGTTTCAGAAACTTATCTTGTACCAGAAACAGATAAAAATAAAATTTCAATTGATAATGATGCACAGTATCTCATAACACATGCACGTCGTTGTCGTGATCGTGCTATAGCTGTATGTCGACCTGGTATTGAATTTTCAGCTATTGGTCGTGCATGTGAAGAATATATAAAACAATGTAATGGTTTAAATATAGTTAAAAGTGCATGTGGACATGGTTTAGGTGAACAATTACATGAACCACCACAAGTATTACATTATTATGATCCAAATGAAAAACAAATGCAATGGATTATGAAAGAAGGTATGGTTTTTGCTATTGAACCTGTTTTAACAGATGGTAATGGTCGTGTTAAAATGTGTGATGATGATATACAAGTATGTACAACTGATAATTCACGTTGTGCACAATTTGAACATACAATTGCAATAACATCAAATGGACATGAAATATTAACTGAAGGAAAAGCTGATATGCGTCCGAATATTCTTGAAAGAAAAACTGTTTTTCTATAAAAACGATTTATTTTCGTTTTTCGATATTTATATAAATATGTATCGAATATTATTTACTTTTAGATAAAAAAAAAAAAACAAAAAAAATGACTAAAACAAATCACTTTTTTTAATCAAGAGAATATACAGGTCATTGAGTTTATTTTGAAACAATTTATATATGAATTTTTTCTTCCATTAGTGACTTATTCAGATTTTTTGATTTTCATACCATTCTATCTCACTATGACTGTAGATGTTGCGCTAATAATCCGTTTTCAGATAAATGAATATCTTGTAATAAAATGTCTGATATCATGGAAGAAATTATTCAAAAGTTTTTCACAAGAAATACATTTATTGTTGTAACTGAAAAGAAATCTCAAATTTATAGCACAACGACATGACTGTTACTCTATATATTCCAAAAGTTTTAGCTATGAAGAGCGAGACTTTGTTGAGGAAACTGTAAACATCTTTCATGACTGGCTGAAATGAAGCTTGCACTTTTCAAGAACAAACCTGACAATGATGTCACAATAATCGATGCTACTTTGTTTGCCAAGCAAAAATAGTATTGATTGTTGCGATCTAATTGGCAGCTCTATTCGAGAATGGCACATCAGAAAATTTTACAGCAGATAGATTTCGATGAATAGAACAAAGATTGTCATAGGCTGAAAATTTCGGGACGTTTTTTTGCACGAAATATTCAGATTACGAGAGCTAGAAATGTCTCATCTTTCTTTCTCATAGGCAGAAGAACGTTTTGATTCTAGCGTAGGTTCAACATTTTTTAAAATAAGACCCTCATCTGAAAGTTAAATATGAGAGAAGACGAATTTTTGGATTTCAACGAAAACTATGAAGAGTTTGCTCTTGATCCAGACGTACTCACTCACAGATAGAATGAACAGGAATATGAAAATGTCTTGTGACTATAGTGAAAGAGAAGAAAAATAAACAAAAAGAAAACGCCATTGTACCACGGATTTACTAAAGGATTTTTCTTTCAAATAGAAAGTGCTATAACTTCGAAAGAAAACGGAGTAAACAACTGGAACTTTCAAGGTACATAGTAGACCTTAAAGATTACCCACATACAAGATTTCAATTTTCTAAGAGTTTCCTGGATAAAATTCTGAAATTTTTCATTACAATTATTTTTTCTGCCGTTGAGTTATAAAATAGGACTTAGCTATTTTAAAAAAGTTGTAAATTTAGACCGGTGGTTTAGATGAGTTCTTGTGAAATACGATCTAAAAAGAGTATTGAAGTAAAGAATAGAAATTTGAATTCTCTATTGTATTTTTGAACGATTAAGTTAAACAATAATGAAGAAATAAATCCTAAAATAGATATTATAAAATAATCTCGTTGTGATTATTGACATCACCTATATCGTGCTTTCATATTTTATTCCCATAAGGAATGTGCTAACAGCTTTATATAATTTATTTAATTTACATTCAACCTTTATTTCATGTAAACTATCTCTTCAAAATGATTGACTTCAATTAAAATATATTAGAAGATATATTTTTATAGATTTGTGTTTCTAACGTTTAGTATATTGACTATTCTATTAATACGAAGTTCACTCCATTTGAGAAAAAAAAAACATTCTCTGATATATTGTGATATAAATCTTCACTACGATTTAAGCTATTGAAAATATTTTACCATAAATAGCTTTAATAAGAGATGTTCTGTCATAATTCTATACATCATTGTTTGCAATGTGGAACAAGCTTTACGAAATAGATTGAATATATCATTCAGATACATGTTTATGAACATCATGAATTTTTTGATTTAACAAAATTCTTGAAATGTACTTGTAACGCATTAATCATTCGATTTTGTTTTACTGTATCTGACCGTAGAAAGATTAAACTGGAAAATGATCGAGTAAGGCTGTAAAAAATTTTGATTAGCAAGACACATTCTAACAAAGATTATAAACAAGTCAAGAGATAAAATATTTTTATGAAATTCACATACTTCAATTTTTTTTAACTGCAGGCTAATCATGATCATCGACTATTTTAGTCAATTGATTATACAAATTTGTAGGCAATTTTGCTGAAAAGAGCAATAATCTTCATTTTTTTGAGAATTAAAATTGTATAGTAGTTAGTGTTCCGACTATTTTAGTTAATCTCTATCTCGATGTTATTCATCAATGCTATTATTGATTACAGATATAAATCAATGGAAGAATGAAAAAAAAAAAAGAAGAAACTATTAATTATAAATGTCTAACGTTTGAATGAATCGCTCTAGTGAATTTTTCATGAAAGAATTCTCGAGGAATCAGGGCAGAAATTCCCTTAAGAATCCGGTATGAAAATTATGACTAATGTAAACTCTCGTATTCTCATGAGCTTCTTATAAGTGAGAGAGCTGAATTTTTGTTTCTCTTTCAAAGGAAATATAAAAAAATAAGTTTTTAATTCAATTATGCTTTCTGATGAAATTATAGTTTATATTAATCTGAATAAAAATAATATAATCTAATGAAATTGACGTAATGTTTATTATAAAGCAAAAAGAATCTAGCTCATTTGTGTCATTGGTCTAAATGAAAATCGTAGGTTTACTGTTGAAGTTTATGTGTCTGAAAATAGTTTCTCTAATAAAATAAGACGAATTATATGAGAGTTACAAAAATAAAAATAGTCACATCTGTTTTTCTTACTGATTGAAACTAATCCGACAGTAACTACTCAGGGTTAAGTTTGTATTAGATACCATGACATGAAAATACTGAGAATAATTTTTCAGATAAAATCATGAAAATTTACACCAACTATCGTGATCAAGACGTTGATAGGCAGAGACACGTCATAAGAAATAGGTTCACTGAAATTTTAGAGTGCAGACCATTTACGGTCCTGGACAAAAACCTTTCCTCCATTCCCCTTCGTTCTTTTCGTATAAAACGAACGAGTTCATTGATAGAATAGTTCATGACAACGCTATTTCTTTTTTCCATATTTTTCGAATGTTTTAATTACTAGTTTTAGTTTATCTGTATTTGTATAATCGTTTATATTGCATTCTCGAAGGAACTTCGAGTCGACGACAAAAAGAGTTTAATGATCTAAACCAGTAAAACATTTAGCAAATACAAAAAAAAAAGAGATAGCCTAGTCGTGAGACATTATGTCAACTTGTTCAATCATATTGAAAGATGTACATTCCTCATCGAAGTAAATTGTCATCAATCACATAGTACATTATAGTTAAGTGCTTTAGTCATTCTAGTAACTAACATTCACGTGAGACAGACGGGATTCTACATGAAAAGTCTGAGGCGGACAGACACACACACAAGTAATGTTAGCAGTAGATTTGAGTTTTTCGGACAAACATTCACAACAAAGGCTGTACCAGAAAAGATAATGGTTGTCCCACAAAGAGCATAAAATATGCAATTGTATGCCGACCTTTCGAAAACCTTTCATCTAGAGAAACGCCGGGAAAAATAAAAAAACTCCTTTAAAAACAACGAATTTAGTGAAAAAAAATCAGTAACTCAACCGAATATTCGTATCATGACTTGTGCCAATTACAAAAGCAGCTGTGTCAGGTAGAGAGTGGGTGCGGGTGTGGAAGCAATGAACGGGCACATCCACACCCTGTCCGAGAAATAACCTACCAAACAGAAAATAGTATATGTTCACCGTATTATGACCAAATGAACTGATTTTTTTCTAATGATAGAGAGTATTCCCAAGTTTTTTCTTCCTACATGAGCAGCTTCTTAACCGACTTGAAACATAACATTATATAATTCAATACCGAATT